TTTTTTATTAGTTAAAAAAGTTTCAAAAATCCAATAGATTTCGTTCCACTTCACAATTGTGTCCCACTTGTTGGTGATTCTTCACATAAAATAAAAAATGTATATCTTTATGTTTGAAGCCTGAAATGTGGCAAAAGGTTGAAAAGTTCAAGGGGGCCGAATACTTTCGCAAGGCACTGTACAATATACAATTTATTAATATGACATGAGAACATGAAGAGCAGGCCAATAAGATCTGCTGTAATAGAAATTGTTGATGTTCAGAGATTATAAAGAAATGTGATTAAGAACTTCAGAGTTGAAATACATCAACTATAACATTTGTCATTGTTTATAAGTCTCATCTCAATCGCATATAATTACTTTTGAGAATACATACAGTATATATTCTCAAAGACAAATGTTCATGTACAAACTAAACTTTATCAGACATGTTTGGCATACTTTATCAGACATGTTTGGCATAATGGTTTTACTCTCGAGATTATAATATAATATTTATTAAAGTTTATACTCCAAGTCTTATTGACTTATATTGCTTATAGAGTTTAGGAAGAAGGAGCTTGGCTGGATTCATTACAGCTGTCCAATCTCCTTCAGCTCGGTGTCTCTTTACCAGGGATGTACCAGGGCTCAGAAAGTATCACATTATTTGGTGCTGTAGTTATCTTTCCAGAGAAGTTAGCATTGCACTTAACCTTTTTTTTTTAAAATCCTGTGCACAGCATTTGATACAAGTCTGGTCACAAATGAGATGAGTGGGGAGAACTCACTTTGTCCAGGCACTATTACTGAATATGCTTTGATATCCAGGTTATCAACAAAAAAGTCCAGATATATTAATTTAATTGATAATACAAATAACAATTGGCTAGTCCTGACTCAGATGGGAATCCTTGCAGTCGCATGGTTGGTGCTGTTTTCTGGATTACCAATGGAGTGGAGTTGAGAAAAGCTAAGAAGGTGAGCTGTGCAGTACCTTTTAAGTCTGAAAAACACAGTTGGTGATTAGTTATGACATCATCAGGTGATACTATAACACCCAAATACTATATTTTCCAGTTATCTCTCAGATGTGTTAAATGTGGAAATTGATTCCCAATAACTTTCACAACATGTCTGTTCACTTTCCAAACATCATAAATATTGTATAAATGTGGCAGATAAAATCAAGCAGGATAATATTTTCTTAGCTCTGTTAGCAGGCAGTACAGTATTAAATTAATTGGCTAGTCCTGTTTCGGATGGGAATAGTTGCAGTCACATGGTTGGTGATGTTCTCTGATTCCCAAAAAGAATAATTTGTACACAGTTGTAGCGCAAGGCTTATTAAAATACAGGAATTAAATTTGCTGCTCCCTTGCCAGTCCCTCTCTCCTTCATCTCAGTGGTGCTTGATACAGAGAGGCCATTCCATTTGGTTCACAATTAAGGTGTTTTTCTAGCTGATAGAGTGTCCTGATAAGGAACAACTCCCAAGGCAGAGACACATCAACCACCCTAACAAATAGTCATTTCTGGCGCCTTAAAATCTGGGAGATTCCAAAGGAGAGTCATCCCAAGTTGTTAACAACTCTAAGGTCAGAGTGCATTGTTACTCATCATCAGCCAATCAGGAACTGGTAGGGCAGGGTAAATAGTCATCTATAATAGTCCAAGACCCCACGTGGGTCTTGGATGCCCATGAAACTTTCAACCAATGAACGATCGTGGTTCCTCTAGGTAAAACAGGCAGTGCAGAGCCCCTCAGCGTGCCTCCTGGACATTCTCAGCCTCAGAGCTCCTCCTGAACATCCTCAGACTCAGCTCGGACCACCAAGTAAAGGCCAGTGTGTCTGAATGCCAGAACTTTCCTTTGTTCTAAGAGTCAAGAATGGAGGTCGCCAGTGCGGAACCAAAGGAACCCGAGGTTAGCATCAGCAGCAAGCCTTGTGAACCCACCGCGAAAGCTCACGTGAACAACAAGTGAATTACGGTCGGAACTGTGGACAGCTGAATAAGTATTCAGAATTAGCGCTAAATCAGGAACGAACCGGTTTTCTTCCTGTCTAAAAGAGTGTGATCTGCTTGGACCCACAGTCACTTTTCTCCTGTGCACAAACTTTGCTAGTTTCAGGCAACACTAACTAGCTGGTCTTCAGAGAGCATCAGCAGCGCATCGCAGCAGAAATCTCTCCCACCATGTCGCAATCTGCAACAGCACTGCCTGGCACAGAGCCAGAGAGCGCCTCCTGGACAATTCTAAGACTCAGCTCCTCCTGAACATCCTCAGACTCAGCCTGGACAAACACGTAACGGCCAGTGTGTCCGAGTGCCAGGACTTTCCTTTGTTCTAAGAGTCAAGAACGGAGGTTGCCAGCGCGTAACCAAAGGATCCACCCGAGGTTAGCATCAGCAGCAAGCCTCGTGAACCCACCGCGAACGCTCACCTGATAAACAAGTGAACTACAGTCGGAACTGTGGACAGCTAAAATCAGTATTCGGAACCCGCGCTATATCAGGAATGAACTGGTCTTCCTTCTCTCTGAAGAGTGTGATCTGCCTTGACCCACAGTCACTTTTTTCCTGTGCACAAACTTGCTAGTTTCAGCCAACACTAACTAACCGGTGTTCAGAGAGCATCAGCAGCGCATCGCTGCAGAAATCTCCACCATGTCGCAAGCCGCAACAGCACTGCCTGGCAACGAGCCAGAGAGCGCCCATTGGACAGCAACATGCCTGCCACTGCTTCTTTGTCCACGGGAGATCTGAATCCACACAGATTGGATGAGTATTCAACATTCTGCATTACCGCTTGAGAATTCAATTGTTACCTCAACACCAGTTGATATCAATTTTATTCCTATGAGTGATGTACATGCTTTTGAGTATCTAGTGTAGAAGTTGTAACCAAGTTCATTTACGAAACGGTCTAAATGAATGATATACTGAATGTAGGTCCCTCTTGGTGTTTTTAACTCTTCGTGACTGAATATATACCTTTTGTATTCTGCTAACCCCCATGATAAGATCTGTTATATTTATATGGCTTTTATGTATTAATAAATGTATTTGCGTGTATAAGTATCTGTGTGTGTGCGTTGTTTGACTTATCCCGCAAGGTTGATTCTAATAGCCATCAGAAGAATAATTTTGTGACTTTTAATAATAATTAATAATTGTCCCAATAAAGGCACAAACCCCTACATTTACTGGTGCCTCGTGAGAGGATGCCTACACAGTAGGGCAGCTCCGTGCTGTAACAGAATACCTGTGTGGATTTTTAACACAGACATTCGGAGCAGAAATTAAAGGATTGTGTTGCATTCTACATTTTTATACAGGTAATTATAGTTTTGTTTTTACTTATTAAATACTGTATTTCCGACATGACTGTACAACACAAATTTTGCATCCTTACACAATAATTTGGGTTTTAACATCCTAAGTGCAGGTGATGTATTGTGTGAATGAAGAATGAAATTCAGTATATGCTCATTTCTGTTTATGATTTTGAGTTTAATCATCTAATCTTAGATAAATCATCTAATCATCTAATAAAAACCAACAAAGAATCAAAGAAGGAATACTTAATATTTCATTTGATCATAAGCAACAATGATAATATTCTGACTTGACTGACACAATAGAACAGAAACTGAAGCACATTAGACCAGCCACATTAGACAATATTGAATTTGTTAGTTAAGGGAAATCTGATTTGCAAACTGAATGACATTTGTCTGCTAAAAGACAAACAAAAAAAAATTAATGTACTCAATATCAGATCGGTATCATTGAAGAAAATACTTAGTTGAATAATCTAAGATATTAAAGGTATATTATATTACAGGAGACATTGTGTAGAAACTGTGATATTGTTGTCTTGAGAAAACTTTATTGCTAAAAAAAGGGACTGTATATCATTTGATTTTGGAGGGGGCTACAGTTGGAGTTCAGACAATGAATAACTCCACAAAAAACTTGCTCCTGAAGTTCTACTTTAGGAAGTACTAATTCATTAAAAATGTAATCACAAATAGTGGTCTATTTTGTCTATCCTCAAGTGTGTTTTAATCCATTTAAAAATATTTGTGTCTGTCTAAAAAAAATAACAAAACGCTTCTCAAAATAGATCCCACCCTAAGTGGCCTTAATGGCTATGGTCAGTGGAGCCCTTACCTACCGTATGTCTTTGCACTGGGAAGTTATTGGTTTGGGAAAAATAAACAAATATAAATATGATTGCAGTTATTGCAGCAATCAAATGTTCTATACCAAGCTGGTTAAATATATTAAAGCAAATGTCATAATTGAACAAATCTACCCTTTATTGTTTTACCAATAAACTCAAATTATCTGATTTTTGTCTTGGTTTTCAGGGTAGTAAGCAGCTGCTTGGCAACTATCCCGTTTACATTACCAATAAGCAATGGGATGAGGCTGTGAATTCCTCCAAGAAAGATGGCCGACGACTCCTGCGGTACCTCATTCGCTTTGTGTTCACCACAGATGAACTGAAGTACTCCTGTGGGCTAGGAAAGAGGAAGAGATCCGTTCAGATAGGGGAAACAGGCCCTGAGAGACGCCCTCTTAACCCTGTTAAAGTTACTTGCCTCAGAGGTAACAAGCTTTCGCTTTTACTGTTTCAAAGGTATTTCAAAATACTCCCTAAATATGCTATTAGATTTTAATCTAAACCAAAATAAAAGATAGTTAACCTGATTAAACAAATGACTCAAAACAAGATACTTTCAACATTTATTGTTCCAGAAAACCTGATGTGCTCTTTGTTGAACTTCAGACAAGTAGCAACTCTTCGAGTAGTAGTAGTATTCTCTTCGAAGAGCTGTGGTGTTCTTCTTACTGTCCTTCGATGAACACCATACTGGATCAGTTGTTTTCTGATAGATGAGTCTTGAACTTCCTTCATGATTTTCATGTTTTTGCATGAAAATAATTTGGTAGGACGACCACTCCTTGTACTGTGGTCTTGCACTTTCTCCATTTGTAGACAGTAGATTAATTTTGGTTTAATTTTGGATTAATTTTGGTTTTCAGGGTTGCCTCCCATGGAAAACCACAACATTTTGTAGATCTTTTTGTATGGGTAAAATCATTGTCTTGCTGCAAGATCATGTCAGTGATGGCAAGCCATCCAGAACCTGAGGCTGTGAAGCAGCGTTAAACCATCACTCTCCCACCACCACACTTGGGATGAGCTTCTTCTGTTCAAAAGTACTTTGATTATCACCCAACATAACGTCTCACATTGAGACCAAAGAGTTCTACATTTGACTTGTCTTTCCAGATAGCATTGTTCTCATTACATTACATTCACATTACATTCTTGTCCAGTCATTTTGTATTGATGAGTCATGAACAGTCATATTAGCCAAGGTGAGAGTGGCCTGCATTTCCTTGTAAGTTGCTCTGGGGTTCTTTGTAACCTCTGTGATGATTTTTTCAGTTTGTCCTTGAAGGGCTTTCAGCAGCTGCTCCTAGTTAGAGTGAATGTGGTCTTCAACTTTCTACATTTATAGCCTGTTAGATAGTGGATTGGTGGAGCACCAAATCAGGGTTTTGTGACCTTTTCTAGAGCGATGAACATCAATAACTCTTTTCCTCTTGTCCTTAGATGATTTGTTTTGTAAGTCTGCATCGTAAAGACCAGACTCTCAGTGTTTTTGACCTTTGTATATAGAGGCATTAAACTCTCAGCATCTACCTAATGTCAAGGTGTTTAATGTTTTCCTTATTATGGATCCATATTAAAAGTTTTAAATACTTAAAATACAATTTTTTATTGTACATGAGGATTTAAAGATGACTTTAAGGTGTACAGAAACATCTTTCCTCCTTCTTCTCCTGCAGAGTTCATTCGAATGCACTGTGCTTCAAACCCAGACTGGTGGATGCCATCTGAAGAGCAAATCAACAAAGTATTCAGTGACGCAGTGGGTCATGCTCGGCAGGGTCGCGCAGTAGGGACCTTCCTGAGCAGTAGTGGCAGTAGCAGTGGAGGCAGTAACAGCACATATTTCGAGTGCTTTGAGAGTCAACTGTCCCAAGATGAAATCTTACTCAAGGGATCCCAGGATGGGGAGTAAAAAAATCACATAGCCTTCTGTGGGGAAAATTTTTTAAACTTTGAGGTTCAAGAATGGAGGTTACTTCTTTCAAGAAAGGGTCACATAAACAATTTGGGCACTTCACATTTTTACCCTGTGAAACCTCTTATAATCCTCCTCAGAGATTGGTGAAGTTTTTTTTATTTGATTTGATTTTGGCATTGTAGGTATTCTTATAAAAGGCAAATGCAAGTTTATTAATTCTTGAATTAATTCATTTATTCTGTTGTTTCACCCCCCTCAATAGGAAATCTATGTTGTTGGTATATTTAATAGCTATTTAATATCTATTTTATAACCTTATGGCTTATCACTTATGTTAATGCCCAGCACTATACACAGATCCATTACTTTTAACATTGTCTGTCTCTTAAATGTTCTAAAGTGAAGACAACAAATTGATAAACAATACAAAGCTAATTTACAATATTTATGACTTTAGGAGAAGAAAAAACAAAACAAGATGAGTGTAATTGTTTAAATTTCTTCTTAATGCTTTCTCATTCTGACAGTAAAAGCTAATTAGTTTGTAATGTGTTTCTTTCTTATGATAAATTTGAAAGGTTCTACATATGTCTATTAGACAATAAAAACAGCTTTATGTGGCTCTGATATCATTAAAAGCTTGGGTTGGCTCATATCTTTTATATCAGGTTTTTGATTTACTAAGGGTTAAATGTTTTAAAATGTATAAGATATAGGTTGGAGCAATACTGCTAAACCTGTGTTACAGTATAAAGACAACCTTTTACATTTTTTACATTCATATTTAAAGCAAGTGTCCCACAAAATAAATGCAAACCCTTAAAGGCTGTCTACTTATTTAGCCTAAGTGACTGTTCCAATATGGGTGTCTTACTATTGTAGCACTATACATTGCTGTTTGTGGTCAATTTTATGAATGATATACAGTACAGTTCATTAAATTTTTCACATGTTAAAATGGACCAAATATCTGACAGTTCTGTATTATTTTTTAATCATTATGATAGGGTTTCATTTAGACTGTATGTCTTGAACTAACACATGGTATACTGTATAAATATATTGACTTTAATAGTTTAATAACATCAGTGATATATTTCTCTTCACTTGTCAGGGAGACCAATAACCTTTTCCATTTCAGTACCTTATTTTTTATTTAGCTTCTGTGTCCTTAGAGCCAATGTCCAATGGGATTAAATATTTCACTGTCACCTACAAACTCTAATAGGCAACGAAATGAAAAAGCACTTTATGTTACAAAAATGTCTGGAGCTCGTATACCTGTGACTATAATGTAACCTAATAATTCACTCAAAATAGTAATGTTAGGTTTCTATCACCTTTGAGGAAAGGTTTTCATGGACCATCAGCAGATAAAATACATTCTAATATTACTGCAGGAGAGTACTTAGTTCAGAAAAAAAGTAAAAAAAGTATTTTATGCAGAGTTACTTAGTGTGCCGAGATGTATTTATAGTCAGATTTCATCTTAAGTAAACTTTTAAATATAGTGTATAATTTTATAGACCCGATTTAAATAGATGTGTCTTACCAGGGTTAAATGCCTGCCATCTCAGTGCTTCAGTCTTCAGTGCTCTAGAACATAAAGTGACTGTTTGGTTGGAGATTTTTATAAAAGAAGGAAGGAAGGAAGGATCTGAAGGTGAAGTATAAAAATGAAACTGCAGGATGAACTTAAATATATCTTGTTCTTATGTACAGACTTAAAAATTGAATTTGACCTCTGAATTGTGACAGTAATCTTTACAATAAACATGTCTTCTAATGAGGTGCCTTGTGGATTATCTATCTTCTCACTAGCTCTGAATTTTTCAAGTGTAAAACTAGTCAACAATCTGCATTGGAACAAGCACTTGCTACCAAGTCCTCCTGTAAAGTATGTGGAGACTTCAAAAATAGTATTTACCTTATTACAATGTAGCACTTACTGAAAACACAGTTTGTTTGTGTTGAAAGCCAATATTTCAATTTTGTAGTGTGGTGTGGAAATATCTACAGTATACAAGTTCTTAACACTTAACACTTCTTATGACTAAGGATGGTGAAATGTTCCTGATTTGTTAAAATAAAAGATCGAATAGGTTCAAAGTGTTCATAAAGTGATGGTGCACTCATTGAAACCAAAAAAACAAATTTTGTAGCAATTTGTATTTATATGTACATGATATGAAAATCATTTGAGTTATCAGAATTTGTTTTTATAATTGTATTTTTAACTTGGGAATCAACTTTCTTCAACTCAGTCAAGTATTTTAAAAAAGACTTGTGCTTACAAGCCATTGTTTGTAATTATTCATTTTGCATTTGACTTTTTCATTTGACTTTAGAAACATTCACATTTCCTTTAGAAACAAAATACGTTTTTTGGTTGGGTGTGTTCAATTCAAAACATACAAAATGAGGAGTATAATATGAAGTACACTCCTTATTTTATAAATAACCTGAAAAAAACTTTATCTCAATTTGAAAAAATATATTAAATGCCATGGAATATGATGTGTAAAGGTGGGTTGAGCTTTGTATACCTTCCCTTTATTGTCAATTACTTTATGAACACTGACCTAGATAAAATGAAATAACTCAGTGGCTTTTATACAAATCCAAGAACTATACACTATACAAAGATATTTGCATTTACAGTACTTCAGTAAAAGGGATTTATGTTTACCATTTTGAATACAGAAAAAAATATTGTTGTTATTTCTTTTTCATATAAACTCCTGTCAGTTCCTGATGATATAATGCAACATTTTTAGGTATGAACAAGTTAAAGTGTCTTCTTGTGCACAGTGCATAGTAGCATTCCAGAGGTAAATGAAAACAGTTGTAATGTCTGTGAAATGTCTTGTGATTGTAAAATGCTTGATGCAATCCAGCTCACCCACCATACTATTTGTAACATTTAGTATATCTCAAAACATTCCTTATTCCTTTGCTAACAAAGGTCCTTAAAATCTACAATTTTTGTGAAGTGCCTTCCCTTGGAAAATATTTAGAAAATAAAAAAGACTAGGTTTCTTCCAAAATATGTTGAAGATGCATCTGTAGTTTACAGTTTACAGAAAATACAGAGTCCCATAGGAACAGGTTTGAGAATTACAGAATGACTGTTGTGAAGATGTACTGAAAAATGTCAAAATTAAATTTTCTATTCTTAAGTGACTGTTTATATAAACACTGTGAAGCACATAGTCATATCTATTTTTAAGACATTTAGATTTGTCATTTTGTTGTTGATTGTAATGTTCATTACAAAAACCTAACTTTTGCTTCATTGAAAATGATCCCTAAATTTCTTTAGTAGTCCAAGGAGGTAGCTGTGTCAGCATGTGTAGGCTGCAAAGGAAAAAGTAACTGGAAAAGAAAAGAAAAGAAAAGAAAAGAAACGCAATGTTTCAGCTGAAGGCTCTACAGCCGAAACGTTGTTTCTTTTCTTTTCAGCATGGAATAAACCTTTACTTGTTCCTAAATTTTTTTATACTTGTTGAATATGAAGAAAGTCCACACTGTATTAAAAGTACTATGATTAATGTTTTCCTCATTGTACCATTTTTGTCAGATTCTGTAATTACTATGTGCTATTAAAACAAAATGAATATCTTTTAAATGATGATCATGGCCAGGGATATAAAAAACATTCAAACATGTTATCTGAGTAAAAGTACTGTGTACTTTGAAAAATGTGTATCTAGGTATAAGCAAAAATGTCCTTGTATTGTAAAAGTAGAATAATCTCTCAACCGTACTCAAGTACCAAAACATAGAAATGGCCCAAGGAATTCTGCCATTACTCTGAATTTCACACCAGTTATATTGATCAATACACTTCTATTTTACACACAGAGATGGCCACATTGCAATCTCAGATCAGAAATTTAAATTATATTCACAAACTTTATAAAGAAATTTATGAATATCAATTCATGGCATTTTTTTTAAACAAGTACAGGATCAATGTAGGATGTAGGATGTAGAAAGTTGATTGTGTCCTATCAGGGAGTACTTCAAAAGTGTTCAAGCCTTTATGATACCTACATTCTAGTGCAGCAGAACATCTTTACATATTGTTTGGACCAATGCAGTAAGATGTAACTTAGAAAAGGTACTAGAAGTGAAACAATGTATTTCTACTTTATTACTTTATTATCTTCTACCGAAGATGGATCTTTCAACACTTTTTGCCATGGCCATCTCAGTCCCCTGACTTAAACCCTATTGAAAATAGCGGTGTGAGCTGAAGAGGGCTGTCCATAAACACACACCTAGAAACCTCATGGATCTGGAAAGGTTCTGCATGGAGGAACAGAGTCCAGGATTCCTCCCAATGTATTCACCAACCTGATAAAGCACTACAAGAAAAGACTTACTGCTTCCTTGCCAAGGGAGGTTCCACCAAGTACTAAAAACAAGGGTGCCAATAATAGTAAAAATTGTTTATTTGTCTTGGTTGATTCCATTGAATCAATAATTCAATTTATCCCTTATGTTGGAAATATATTCAGTGCTTAATGAACTCATTATTTGTTTTAACTTCCTTTTTTCTTCACATTTATCAAGGGATGCAATAGTTCTGAAGTCCATTGTACAGACGCAGCCATTCAAAGTGCGCGGTACAGACACGTGTACCGGAGGTAGCTGGCTACGGCGTCGCGCATCGTGAAGCAAGATGATGCGGGGTACCGCGGTACGTGATTGGTTGACTGACAGGGGCACTCGTGGTCCGTTGGTCTGTCGTAGAAAGATTTACAGTAAATGTCTTTACTGTGCCCGTTGTAGTATTGAATATTCATATGGAATTTTACCACTGAAGGGAAATCTTAGTAGCTGAGCATAAAAAGAATAGGAGCATACTGCAACGCGTGTGAAGGCCATAAACGATATTAATTTTGGAACATAAACATACAGTATATGGCTGGGCTCGGTACTTTAAAGAAAACATACACGAAACATGGTTTCATTATGAACAGTATCGGTCTTGAGATATTTTTAACTTGATTTACAGTATTTGAGAGGTATGTCCTGACACTGATACTACGTAAATACTGCTCACGTATATGTTTCTAGGTTTATATTATGCATTTCATACGGTCAACTTTTGAGCAACTGATAAGAAGCGCGAAACGGTATGCCCAGGGCGTTTTAGTGCCGTGGATTGATTAGAGATATCAAGTACATACAAGTCATTTTTTAAATGTTGAAGTTCGTCTTGTAAAAATGTTATGAGTACATCATCTGTCAACAATTACACAGGTTCTGTTTCCATATTGCGGATTTTGGTTACGTAATATTATTTTCTAATTTCACGTTGTGAATATATGATTTGGGCAAACAGAGCCGCAAAGAAGTACATTATGGGTTGTTGGTTTTTTTTTTTGCAGTTTTATCTAGAACAAGCGATGCTTAAACCTTTGTCTGATTCTTGTGAAACTATCCACACTACTGTTACCTAGGACTTGACTTCAGTGATGTCACTGATGGGATGTTTCTAAAAATTCATCCACTGTAAAACGTTTTTTCCACTTGTTCTGCATATGTATTCGCTAATGAAGCTGTGTGTTCTGAGCCTGGTTCTCTACATTTCTGTATAAACCAAATTAGAGGGCTAAAGACAGCTTGTGTTTAAATTGAGTGTAAGGTAATTTATGCTAAAGTCATGGTCAGCATTTATTATTGTACTGTGCTGTAAACTTCTGTGCCTAATTACATTATTTTATAGCTTTATCAAATCTGTACAGTGTCTGTCGATAATGTTTCTGTAGTGCTTTTTCAGCCCTCAGCATGTGACTGCACCAGTGGCGCTGTGGGTTAGATTCCTGACTTCCATGTCACACGGTCTGTGATCGAATCCCATGGAACTATGACTTTCTTTTTTAACAAACATTTCTTTGAAAAAATGAAACGTTTCCCTTGGTCAGAGATTTAATAAAACCTCACTCACACCAAACAAATTTATATTTCTAAATATCACAGCATGATCGGATTTAAGTCTTTTTAATAACAATGAATAGTCACCTATGCGTTACAAAATAAACATTTATATTGATTTGAATCACGTTTTGATTTAAATCGTAAACGCGTGTTTAAATATATGTGTTTAAAGGCGATATACTGTATAAAAGCGCTGATTCTTATGGATTGTGTTACGCCGGGGATTCAAAAAATGTATATATTTTTTAATCGCGTATCTAAGGAAAATTGCAGTATAACTTTGTTCATGCACATCATCATACAGTATCTCATTTTGTATTTCTATAAAAAAAAATCGTTTGCCCAGCCACTATTTTTGTTATTGTTTTTATCCTGTAAAGCGCTTTGAGGAGCACAGCTTTCTCACCACTTAGATTACTTTTTGACACCATCCTTACACAAAGCAGAAACTGAAAATTTGATCATGTTTCTCTATAACAATAATAAAAAACTTTATTTTACATATCACCTTTAAAAGTGGCATCTCAAAACAATACAGTAGATGTAAACCACAGATTACAAAGTAAATACCCAGACAAATGCAAATGCGTTTTTAATAAAATGCTTTCATTCATTCAACAGAGAGAGCGTAAAACCTGGGTGTAACAGCTGTTTCTTTTTCTGATCACTCGCTCTCTGGATAAACGTCTCGCCTGTCCAGTTCCTTGTTTTCCTAATTTGCCGATTATGCCTGCTGCGATCCACTCCTACCCTCACACCTAAAGAAGACTATTTTAAATTTCTTTGCGCATCCTTAAGGTGATATCACATAAAGGTGATATGTAAAATAATGTTTTTTTATTGTTGTTATAGAGAAACATGATCAGATTTTCCCCGGTTCAGAAAAAA